TGTGGAGGAACTACACTGTACGTTGAACTTCTTTCGCAACGTACGTGGCCAACCGTGCTAATCGAAGGTGCGGATGAGGACAACCTGCAGTGTTCCACGGGAGGCAGTTTTCTGTTTTTTTTTTTTATCGGAGCCGGCTCACAGCCTCACTGGCAAGACTGGTGGGGAGCACACCGGACGAGTCAAGGTACACAACACCCCCACGCAGTCAGCCAGCCCGCCCCTGAGCCGTCATGGCATGCACACCTGACTAGTCGCGCACCTCACCGACTGGTCGCACACTCAGCCATTCAGGTGCCCGCCAGGTTCAGCCGCACCGCTGACCGACAACGAATCCGGCGTGACTACCCAGAAACACGCGTTCGCAGGTGGGAGCGCAGCGCAAGCGCATCTGGGCGGCCAGGAGCACACCAGAGCAGGGAGTGGCGGCAAATTGGAGCGGTCAGGGGGCCACACCCCGACAGGCCATGGGGCACGGGGCGAAGTGGCCAGCCCCATGGGCTCGGGGCGATTCGTAGCCCCACCACCGTGGCGGGCGACGGCGGAAGCTTTCGGCCCAGGAAGGGTGCCTGGAAATTTGAGCTGAACTCCGGAGCGGGGGCGCGTGTCGTGCAAATATCGGCTCGGGAGCCTTTCACAGCTCGGAGCTGAGTCTCCACAAATTTTAGCTGCCGTTTGTTTGACCCCCCCACCTCCCACCACCGGATAGAGGCAGGGGGCGAGCGGGAGATAGTCACCCTCCGTTCCCTCCTGCACCCCGACCGCCAACCACCCACCCCGCTACCCACCCCACATGACCACCCCCGGGGCCTTAACAGTGGCACAAAGTCGGACGAAGCATGGAAGACTCACCTTGGCCGCCGACATTGTGGACGGTGCCAGTTCACCACAGGCGGTGGCGTTTCTACCCACGGATATAAATGTATATTTTGCCATAGCAGGCGAGCGCCTGAGTTGCATCAATCGCCGCTTTGCACGCATTGCAGCGACGATCGCTTTTAATTTAAGGGAAAAAAAAAGTGTCAAGAGCTTTGCACGAAAACGTCGGCGAAGCTGCCGGGGACTTTGTGCTCGCGGGCGCGAGAGCGGGAAGCGCTCTGGCTCTCTGAAAGACGGTGCTGCAGGCGAACTCTAGCAGGAAACAAACCCCATAGCTCCAACCCCATCGCCAACCGTAGCCTCAACCGCATAGCCCAAAACCCATAGCTAACCCTAGCCTCAACCCCATAGCTCCAACCCTAGCCTCAACCCCATAGCTAACCCTAGCCTCAACCCCATAGCTAAACCTAGCCTCAACCCCATAGCCAACCCTAGCCTCAACCCCACAGCCAACCCTAGCCTCAACACCATAGCCAACCCTAGCCTCAACCCCATAGCTAACCCTAGCGTCAACCCCATAGCTAACCCTAGCGTCAACCCCATAGCCAACCCTAGTGTCAACCCCATAGCTAACCCTAGCCTCAACCCCATAGCCAACCCTAGTGTCAACCCCATAGCTAACCCTAGCCTCAACCCCATAGCCAACCCTAGCCTCAACCCCGTAGCTAACTCTAGCGTCAACCCCATAGGTAACCCTAGCCTCAACCCCATAGCCAACCCTATCCTCAACCCCATAGCCAACCCTAGTCTCAACCCCATAGCCAACCCTAGTCTCAACCCCATAGCTAACCCTAGCCTCAACCCCATAGCTAACCCTAGCCTCAACCAGATAGCCAACCCTAGCCTCAACCCCATAGCTAACCCTAGCCTCAACCACAAAGTCAACCCTAGCCACAACCCCATAGCCAACCCTAGCCTCAACCCCATAGCTAACTCTAGCGTCAACCCCATAGCCAACCCTAGCCTCAACCCCATAGCCAACCCTAGCCTCAACCCCATAGCTAACCCTAGCCTCAACCCCATAGGTAACCCTAGCCTCAACCCCATAGCCAACCCTAGCCTCAACCCCATAGCAAACCTAGCGTCAAACACCGTAGGCTGAGCCTCACAGCCTACCGCGATCTCATCCCTACCCCTAACCTCATCCCTACCCCTAACCTCATCCCTATCCCGATCCCAACCCCTAACCTCATCCCTACCCCTAATCTCGATCCCTACCCCTAACCTCATCCCTATCTCGATCCCTACCCCTAACCTCATCCCTACCCCTAACCTCATCCCTACCCCTAACCTCATCCCTACCCCTAACCTCATCCCTATCCCGATCCCTACCCTTAATCTCATCCCTATCCCGATCCCTACCCCTAACCTCATCCCTATCCCGATCCCTACCCCTAACCTCATCCCGATCCCTACCCCTAACCTCACAGCTTACGCTAACCTCGACCACTCCCCTAGTCTCGTCCCTCACTGCCACACTTCCTAATCCGTTCCCTTGCTCGCACATCGTCAGCCATGACCCGTCCACTGCTGGATCAAGGCCTCTGTGTAACGCATCCATTGCCGTAGGCCCCCCCCCCGGGGGGCTATTGGTGGCCAGCAGCGTCCCCGGAGTGGCCACTTACCGTCTCCCCGAGACTTCCCTCTCCTCCCCGATTGATCACATTGTGCACAGAATGCCTGGGGCACCGCACGTGACCCCATCGTGACCCCGACGTGACCCCACCACAGGTGTGCAATGCCTTTGTGCTTCATCGCGGTATTAAATTGTAATCCCCGTTGTTGCGGATTCTCCGCCCCAACCCACCCCCTCCCCCCCCCCCTCCATGGACGTACGATAGCGACCGCACCATAATGTGTTAACTAGGGCTTGTGAGTTTTGGTTGTAACCCTGATCATTGCACCGCTAATACAAACTTAAATCAGTGTTTGTCAAATAAACACCACACCCCCCCCACCCTCCCATATTAAATGGTCGCTCCATTCATGTTACAAAAATGTATGCAATTTGTACAAAAAAACCCTACTTACGTGATTAAAAAAAAACTAAATCAGTTAAATTTATTTAGACGACTGTCCGAGTACGAAAGCGCCAGGTTGCCACTAGCGGTGAGAAAACTGTTACGTTTATTTCCTCAAACATTGTTTGTTTAATCATTGTTATGATTATTATTAAATACGAGCTTGGCCTGCATTTTAAAGAGTAGGCAACACTGCAGAACCTAACGTTGAGCAACTCATCACGGTGTATAAAACGAATCAATACGCAAAAGCATCGAGGAACCTCGAATATCTACAAAAGAACTTAAAAATAGCTGAAAGAAAACGTGGCGATCAACGCCAAAAAAATCACATTTATCAACCGAAAATCACAAGCCCTGCTTACAACGAGACAGAATTTCACCCTTTAAGAGCGTAGTGGTTCCCTAACCTGCGGGCCGCGTGTGGGCAGTTGCCCGCGGAAACTGTCTACGGACGCTCTCGTTTGGCGCAGCTGGTGGTCCCTGCGAAGAGCGGTGCCGCCGAGACGTCATCTCCCTCGCCTGGTATGCAGGAGGTCGTGGGTTCCATCCAAACCCTGACGCCCGTTGTGTATGTGGAGTTTGCCGTGTCTCTCTCCCCCGTGGGCACGTTGATTTCCCACCCCCCTCCCCCCCACATTTCGAATCAACATCACGTGTTTAGATTATTTAGCTGCTGTAAATTTCCACGCGGATACGCCACTTTGTTGTGCTATCGCTTGTGGCCAGGTCGCTTCTGAAAAAGAGAGATATATAGTTCAGTGGGCTCCGTGACTCAATCGTCCCAGAGTAGGTGGGGGGGGGGGGTTGCAGAGACGTCGGGAGCCACTGCTCCGGAGTTTATCGCCGGGCGGCATTCCATTGCCGTGCGCGCGACGCTAGGGGGAGTGAGACGCTCGGTCGAATCGACACGTGACCCCATGAGTCCATGGGCCCAGACCAGATGTTTCGCTGGGGTGAGCAGCACTTTGGGCGGTTCCTACGTCCCAGTGCGTGGCCAACAGCAGCGCATTATGCGACAACCGCTTGATTCTACTCCATTCTTTTCTCATGGCAGCGACACGTTCAGGAGCTAAATGCCAACAATGGGTGGGAGACGCCAGTAGCCTCCTTGGCGGGGGCCATGCCAGCCGCGCGGCTTTCCGTGAGTTCACTTAAAACGCGACCGATTCCGCCATCGGGACGGAATGGACGCCGTCAATTCGAATCAAACGTACCATCGGCGAAAGCCGTTTGAAGCGAGCGGGGTGATCAAGTAGTCCCCCTCGTATTGAACCGTATCAGTTGCGAACGCTGCGTGTCGCGGTCGGAGCGTTACTACGCAAGCCGACGCTGTTGAGATCGGAACGGCTAGAGAAGTGCGTGCCACCCTCGGAGCGGTGGCTATCTCCGCCCCGGGCCCATGGACTCCGCGGACGGAGCGCCCGGTGCCGTTGAACTCAAGTGCACCACGTGTGGCGTGGCGGTGGCAACCGACTCGGTTTCATTTCCCATCCCCATGGCGCCGCGCGCAGGCGCGGGAAACGCATGAGAGGTCCCCTTCTCGCCGTTGCCGATGTTAAAACAGAAAGTGTCATGCGCAAACGAAGCGGTCAAGGAGGAGGAGGGAGCATGGACGGTCAGAGGTAGAGGCGAGACACAGGAGGCAGGGTGAGAGGCAGAGACTCCGGGGCGTACGAGCGTGTGCACGTGCCCCCCCGTTTTTGTCAAGCCACCGCCGGATGACGGCCTCCCCCGTCCTCTGTGCGCCGTGGGGCGGCGGGGGCGGTTATCTCACTTGGCCATAATTGACCACATTGGTCGGTAGAGGTTTTTTTTTGTTAAAAGTGGGGACATAGAAGCGGGGGCACAGAAATACAGTACACAGAAATACAGTACAACGGTGGATTTTTCTGCGCTGCCCTCTGCTGCCCACCGCACAGTCCCGCAGCTGCCTATAGCAACGCTGTTATACGCGGAAGAGCATTGAGAGGACATGGCAAGGGGACGGTGGAGATAGACAAGTAGGAGGATGGATGAGAGGAACTGGAGTGAATTAGAGGGGGTAGTTAGGGAGGGAGCGGGTAAGAGGGGGAGGGGATGAAGTGGTGGGGGGGGGGGGGGGGGGGGGGACAGGAGCTGGCGTCAGACACTGCTAGCATCTGCGTGGTACCAGGAGGCCGGTTGTCATGCCAACCGGGCGGGGCTTCCTCGTGGCTCGCGTGTGCCATGGTGCCTCATAGCCGTCGCGTACTGCGGAGGGGACGGACGGGGAGTGGGAGGGAGGAGGGGGGGAGTGGGGGGAGGTGGGGATGGAGGGGACGGAGGGAGAGTTGGGGGGGGAGGGGGGGGGGGTGTTGGGTGGGGGGGGGAGACACACTGTGGTCAGGTTTCCCCGCACGGCACACGACCACGCAGGAGCCCGAGCATAGGAACGAGCTCGCGACGGGCATGACACGAACACAAAACGGACACAACAGCAAACAACAACAACCGCCACTAGGTGGCGGTGACGCCAACACGGCGCTTTCGCGAGGCTACGTGCACCTTGACGCCATGTGGAGGGTCACAAACTCGCTGGCAGGTCACAGGGAAGGCTCAGGTGTTATGGATTAACTAAGGTGACTGGCAGACGCATCACCTGTGTTCCCCCCACCGTGCCACCTCGCTGTATCTTAGCCGCCCTGCGCACCGCTCATCGTTGCGAGCGGCAGTCCTCCACCCTATGGTTGTTGGCGGGTGACTGCCTCCAACTGCCGAGTAGCGTCCTTTACGAGCCTCAACCACTGAGGCCGATCTTGAAATTTCTTTTACCAGCCATCGGCGAGCCCTCCCATCTCCAGATCCTCCTGCACCAGTGCAGACCTTCTCTCTAGCCCGTGCAATGCCCGTTTACCCACCCTCTATCCGGCCTCACAAACAGCTGTTTGGATAAGTGGTGGCTGGGCACGTGGGCGTTGCTACAAGACCCAGCCAACGCATTCTCGCCTGCCAAAATAAATATAACAATCTCCAGATTATTTAAGAATACGCAAACTCCTGACAAAATTAAATGAGCAACAAATCATAACGATGCGACGATATTTTGCACGACGGACGATACAATTATCGTGGATCTCATATTGTTCGATGCACATGTCGAGGTATCGCGATATTGTGGACAAGCCTGCTGTCCACCGCTCACGGTGACAGGAGCCAAAATCGGTCCCCAGGACCTCCCGTAGTTCACGGAAACCCAGCTGGTACCAATCCAGCTGCCCGACACAGGAAGCGGCACAGACTCATGCCCAGCGAGCACTCAAACATTCCACGTGGCCAGATGCAGTAACAGCGTTTTCATTATTTAAAAAAAGTCTTTTGTTTAAATGCATTTGTAATTATATATTTTTGTTCAAAATAAAAGTTACTTATTGCTATTTTATTTTTCTATACTACAAAAAACTTGGCAGGACCCTCTTGAAAATGAGTCTTGAGACACGGCAAGACTTTCCTTTATGAACAAGCGCAGTCACCATAGCGGTGGTCATTTGTGAAAGCTCCCTGGGAGGGGAGTGGAGAATTGGTTGCCTGGCTCCACCAGACGGGCTTTGGCTGCTGCAGGGGGTGTCAGAATACTTCAGAATCAGAATTCTTTATTTAGACTGCAGGAGGAAAGCGATGAGCTATGAAGCTCTTTCTCACAGATGTCCAGTTGGGGCACGGGGTCGGCGATTTACATGGACAAACAACTACAAAAATCCACTGTAGTAGGTGTGCAAGTCACCGAAAAATAAATCAATAAAAATGAATGAATTATCTAAGTGCAAATTGCATGAGTACATACATTCATGCCGATTTTTCAACACTAGATGCCCGTCCCCCCTTGGGGTTTGCAGTGGCGGCAGGGCCTCTCACACTCTGGTTCTTTACCGAGTAATTTAAGGTGGAGGAGATCAACGGCCCCTCGCACAGGTCCAGTCACACACACACACACACCAACAGAGACACTAAAACACAGAGATCCCCCGTGTAGCCTTAACAAACTCTTGGGGAAAGTGCTGTTAGTGAGCACCTATGAAGGCCGGAATGGCACACGAGGGGGTGGGTGGCCAGCACCACGCCCGCTTGCCCTCGTCTCCCCAGTGGCGATGTTTAAACACCACATCAAGTACTCATTTGAGGCTGAGTCGACCCAGGAGAGGCCCAGGACCGGTTCAGACAATCGTCACTGGTGTTGGCCGTCAGCGCAAATCAAACTCGGGTCACTGGATTCGTAGTGCAGCACGCTAACCACTGCAACAATGCTCCCCACTCATACGCACAGATGCACATGAGTGCACACGCACACACGCGGTGCAGTCGGCACGCCTCCAGTGTGCAGCGTCTCCCCACACGCAATGCCGACATGCCCCCCACGATCCGCTTGGGCTCGCCCGCCTGGCTCGTTCCACTCACACGTGGGGGGAGTCAACGTGACGTTAGGAGAGGAACACAGCGAGGAGGAGGAGGTGGTGGAGAAGGAGGCTGGAGCAGGGGGGGGGGATCAGCACAGATGACATTCCACACTATCAGGGGCGATGCGGTTCAGGTTTTCCAGAAAACCCACGCATATTATTGCAACAAAAACTTTGTAAAAGTGGATCGCAGCAAACCTGCCGCCAAGATTTTACACCTGACGTGGATCCCGGAAAACCTGGGCAGGACCATTGCGAGGGACACGGGGCAGAGTTTATGGAATAAGCAAAAGAGGCATGGAGGTGCTCACGGCGAGGGGCGACTCGGGACACCGCCCTTTGAACTGCGCCTCGGAGACGCTAATCGTTAAGATATTCCTCGTCTCCGGTTTCCGTCCGATCCCAAAACATCGAGAGCCACCGCGTCCCGACGGCCGAGTGCTAAGGGTGGTCACCTGGAGTCTGACTGCGTCGCCCGTCGCCGTGGAAGGGCGACAGGTAAAAGGTTACCGAGGCTCCTCCGCGGGACAAGGTTCAAGGGAAGGACCCGTGGGAGAAGGTGAGGAGGAGGGGGGTGGTCAGGGTAAGCGGGGTCGTTACCACCGGCGTGAATATTTACAGACAGGGAGCTGCCCTGTGCACGCTGCTGCACGTCTGAGCGCTTGTACGCTCAGGCCCCTGAGGACTGGGGTGAACAACTTTAATGACAGAGGTCACAAAGAGTTGTTTGGCGGGCAGGGGGTGGTGGTGGTGTGGTCACAGTGGTCACGAACGGGCCATGATTCTTAGCCGCGGCCTGCCGGCGATCATCGTGGCCTCAAAGTGGAGGGTGGTTTCCTGTGGTCGGTGCAAACGATCGAGGGAGCAGACTGCACGACCTCGTGTCGCCGTCATGTTGGACGGGAATGAGCTGCCCACAACCACCTCCCTCTTTAGCAATCCACCTGAAGAAGCAACATCCAGGATGCGTATCCAATCAGTCGCTTTTGCAACTGCCGATAGGACCACGTAGTGGACGACATTGGGAATCGGCAGCGGCTTGGCAATGACGCTCTGGGGCACAGCTGTAAATTGGGAGTGCATTTTCCACGCGAAATTTTTGACGAGTCCTGGAAATACGCCACGCGGCGGTGAGGAGGGAGCAGCGACAGCAGGGGGCAGCACGAGGACAGCAGGCCCTGTCCCCGAGGCTGCTGCCACGGCTGGCTGAGAGTGAGAGGGGACACACGACCTGCGGCAGGGTTTAGGCCGAGGCTTTTGCCAATGCGCCCCCCCCACGCCTTCATTCCCAGCGCCAGAAAACACACATGACTCCATCCCAGGTATAACTTCCTGTACGTACAACTTATAAAAATATATTTATTCCCCTTTGGAACCAATATTCGAGATGATTGGCTCTCCTTCCAAATTCTTATATCCCCTGATTTTATGTCACGGAGAAATCGTTCTATGCTTGTACATCTATATTCATGCATTTTCAACATACCCCCTAATCTTAAAGAGCACTTTTCCAAATGTATTCATTAAAAAAAAAGTTTATACGTAGCGCCTTACCCAAAATACACGACCATAGCCTAATTAGTCGAGGAGAAATAAATGTTCGCAGGTGGGAACAATAGTCAGTGGGGGGGGGGGGGGGGGTGGAACAAATATCCGTTTACACCGGTACTGCGCCTCCGTCTCACTCTCACTTCCACCACCGCGGCCGCTGAGACGGGCCAGGATTCGAGGGTCACGGGTTCAGGTCAAACGGGCGAGGGGGACAAGTGGGAGGAGTGGGGGGGGGGGGGAAGTGGTGGGGTGGGCCTGTCCCTTTACCTTGTGCCGTCCCGCGTGTTTGGTTGCCACAGGAGGCCATTGGCCCCGTTGCTAGCAGCCAAAAACAGCTAGCACCACCACGGGCGGGCGGGCGGGCGGTACGGAGAGACAGAGACAGCGAGAGGTGGGCAGGAGACAGAGAGAGACAGAGAGAGAGACAAGGGGTGCGCAGTGTTAGTCACGCAGAGGGGGGGGGGGGAGGAGGAGAGCAGGAGAGAGAGAATGAGTCGGATATGGATGGACGTGACTATTCAGATGAATATGAAAGCGTTATGGAGAAAACGTCGCATTGGCCGTGAAGCGCTTTGACTGCGGCGTCGAGGGCCGGGCGAGACCCACGCGGCAGGGCCCCGCGCCAGAATTACGCTTCCGCGTCGGCCGCCCTGAGCGGAAGGTCCCCCGATCGGGTGCAACCAGGGGTCGCCTGCGGCTGGCGCCCTCGGCGAGCACCGGCTCACACGGGCCTCACCGCTCCCTGGGACGCGACGGGGCGGCCGCGGCACCGTGCGCGGTCAGGCCGCACCTCCCCCCATCCCCCCCAAACAGATCCCGAGCCATGGCAACGCACGACCCCCCCGCGTGACCCCTGCAACTGCTGGCCGCCGCGGTTACTCACGGAGGGCGGCGGGGACTGGCGTCGCGAGAAGGTGGCCTCCTCGTAGATGGGGTTGTTGTTGAAGGGACCCACCTCTTCACTGAAACGGGCAGAGAGGGTTGTATATATATGCGGGTTTTAATTTCCTTGCTCGGCACACCGCATCCAGTATACATTGCCTACGCCAGTCTAAAAGCGACCCGGACGATATTGAAGATGGCACTCGGGAGGTCTGCACAGCAGTGGACTAACGCAGATCTCTAAATGATTATCATTGTTATAATAATAAACTCAACTGAAACATTTTTTTTTTATTTTACCAGATAATGCCCACAGAGCTGTATAGCTCTTTTTCAGAAGGGACCTGGCCACAAATGATAGCTCAACGAAGTGGCTTATCACGTGGAAATTTATAGCAGACAGAAATACTAAACGCACATGTAAACTCCAAAAACACAGGCGTCAGGGTCGAGATCACACCCACGACTTCCTGTGTAGCGGGTGAGGTAGTTAACATCTCGCCACCGCGGCGCCCCAAATTCTTCTTTTGTTCAAAACGTATTGAGGAGAGGGTTGTTAAAAGAAAGAAACCGCTTGTGATCCGACTTGCGTCTGACTTTATGAATAAAAATCAGGGAATGAGCAACCGGCCGCCCCCCCCCCCCCCGTGGCACTTCGCCCCGGGCGCGCTCACGTGTAACTACCGCCCCCCCCCGCGTTGGCGAGGTTGGCGGCGGCGGCGGCGTTGGAGGAGGCCGAGGTGGAGGGCACGGTGGCCCCGAGTCCGTGCGAGGGCGGGCAGTGCGCCAGAGCGGGGAGGCTGCCCTCGCTGCCGAAGCTGCTGCCGTAGCTGTAGAGGCTGGAGAAGGCCATCCGGCCCGCGTGGCGGTACGCGGCGCCGCTGGCGCGCGGCCCAAACGGGTCCTCGTTGTCCTCGCGGCAACGCTCCCTGCGGTGGACGCGCGCGGGACAACCGGAGGTCACAACCGGGGGACGTCACTCGCTGCTCGATGTTTACACACCGCACCGGGTGCTCGTCTTACGCCGAGTAAACCTAGGGGAGACGCCCAGGAATTGTTTCGATAACCATCACGTACGTTGGCCGTGGGCGGCAATCGAAATCTGGTTGCCGGGTTCGTAACTCAGTGCGCTAACCGCTGCACCCACCGCTCCACACATTACACTGCCGCTCCACACACGCGAACACCCACATGCACACACCAATACCCGCCATTCGCCACCGAGTGACGGTGACATCACCCCGGCGTCTGTGCCAGGCCAGGAGCACTTTAAATGCACACGCACGCACGCACGATCCGCACGCACGCACGATCCGCACGCACGCACGATCCGCGCTCCCGTAGGCGTGCGGGACTGGGAGTTGGTGCCCGTGAGGGGGCGGCACCTCTTGCGGAAGCGCGCGCAGGCAGTGGGGATGGCGCAGACGATGCAGCTCATGGCGATGGCCCCCGTGAGCGAGAACAGCGACAGCAGGAGCTGCCCCTTGAGGCCGTCCCAACACATGCCAGTCAGCCCGGCCAGCACATCCTGCACGGCGGTGGGGGGGGGCACGGGGGGGGGCGGGGGCAGGGGGCATGGGGGGTCGGGGCAGCCACATCCATCACCATCGTACGATCGTCGTACCATCATCAACCTACCACCAATTGACATTTAGACCACCGCCGTCACGTCATCTGGCACTTTGTCGTTTCGTGTGTATGTCGAACGTCTTTCATAACGTACGCAGCCAACCGTGCCAATCGGAGGTGCGGCGGAAGGACAAGGTCAGAGACACCCTGGCGTTAACAAAAATGTTTGGTGGTATTTTTTCTTCATTTGACGAGAAATAACTTTCAAGTTTGTTTTGTTTAAGCAGTTGAGAAGTCAAACAGATCACAGGATGACCGGCGCGCCAGGCAGCTGCTCGGGACGGACCTTGTTGAGGGCCCGGCAGTCGAGCAGCGCCGTGAGCTGGTGCACGGCCGTCTCCGTCACGTTCAGTTCCGCCTGCACCTTGCCCAGCTCCTTCTGCACGTACGCACAGACATGCACAGACAACGGACACAGACAAAAAGACGCGCACAGACAATGTAAAGACAAAAATAGGCGCGCACAGGAACGTACAGTCACACACAGGCATGTGCAGACACACACGTGTACAGACACGCACAGGCATATACACGCAAACACAGGCATGTACTGGCACGTACACGCGCACACACACGCAAAGGTGCACACCTGCGCACGTAGGGACACGCGCGCACACACACGTGCGGGCACACACACGTGCGGGCACACACACATGCGGGCACACACACACGCGGGCACACACACATGCGCACGTACCCGCGTCCTTGGCACCTCCACCGCCCCGAAGAGCAGCAGCTCCAGCGCGAGCGACTGGAGATCGGAGACGGCGCGCACGCTGCCCGTCAGGCCCTGCACGCCACGGCCACACCGCTCGTAAATCAACCCCCCCCCGCCGCCCTCTGCTGCCGCCTTCGGTCGTCCGTGCTGTCGGCTCCCCACCCTCCCCTGTTCCAAGTTCCGAGTCCACGCTCAACTCCCAAAGATTCAGGCTGCACGGGTGGGCCTTGATATGGACAGACTCGCCACCACCATAGGCATGTGGAATATACTGGCCGAGGGCTGTTAACGGGATACGAACACTGCCTCCACGTGAAAAAGAGCTTCACGGCTCATCGGATTTCTTCAGCATAAATACAGATTCTTATTCTGAACCGTGGTCCACCCTGCCCGTGCGGCCCACCGCCCACCCCCCCACCCCCAGTGAGACTCACCGTCTGGAACGGGCTGACGGAGGACGGGTGGCACTCGAGGTAGTAGCTCAGCGTGTCTGCAACGGACGCGGCAACGAGCGGCGTCAAAAACCGTGGTCACGCGGCGAGGTGAACGCGGCGAACGTGGCGGGGGTAGCGACCCAGCGACGTCCGGAACATACCAACCCCACTCGCACACTCCCACAACCGCCACTCAAACTCACTCTCAAGACTCGCTCACCTCGCACACTGCAGAACAGCAGGCGTGATATATAACATACAAAGAAAGAAAGAAAGGCGCCCGACTAGGGGATTGAACCCGGGCCCTTCTTGCTGCGAGGCCACAGGTGTTGCCGCAGCGCTGCCACGCTGGCGCCCAGGCCGTGTTGTGCGATCGTGTCACTGCGCGTCGGTGCGGAGCGAGCGGCTCCCGGTCGCCGCACCTCGCTCCACCGTGCCGAGCGCCTGCGTCACGTTGGCGAGGAACTGTCGCGGTGCGAAGCAGAAGTCGCTCGCGCCCTGGGGGTGGTGGGGGGGGGGGGGGCGGTGACACGGGGGGGGCATGCGTGTGAGCACCGGCGGCCACTGCAACAACGACAACGACGATCACAAAGATGTCATCAACAACGCACGGCAAAACGCTCACGAGCAGGGACTGGGGAGTGAATGGGGAGTGGTGAATGAGTGAGTGAGGACAAGGCAGTGTTGAGTAGAGAGTGGTAAGTGGGGTGTAGTGAGTGGAGAGTGAGTGGTGAGTGAGTGGGGATTGGTGTGGTTTGCTTGAGGAGCCAGAAACCAGTGGGGAGCTAGGAACTAAGAGTGGTGAGCGTGGTCGCGGGGGTGGGGGAGTTGGGGAGTGGGAAGAAGCGAGTGGTGAGTGGTGGGGGAGAGGGGCAAGGGGAGTTTGCCTTTTGCAGAAAGGCTAAGATCGTGCACCCGACCGCCTGCCCCCGCCGCCTGACCTAATCCGTCACGACATTGTGGCAGCGTCCGCGCAAGCCGCGAGCTGTGGCGGTGGCTCGCTCGGATTAACCCCTCCTCCTCATCCTTCTCCTGCTGCTGCTCCTCCCTCGTGCACCTCCCTCTCTCCCCTCGCCAGCTTCCTCGCACGGCCGCTGTGCGAGGAGGCGTTGAACGGCAGGCGAATTCACCCCCGCCCCCCTGCCTCCGGGCCCAGCAACGAGGATGAGGAGACGGCAGCTGACGGGACTCCCGCCCCCACCCCCCTTTTGTAATTAACTTGAGCTGGCGTGGAGAAGCCCTTCCGCTCGGCGACCGCGTCGGTGCCGCCGGGCATCTGCCGGGCGGCGTCGCGGGCTAGCGCGTCGCCCCGCCCTGCCGGCTGTGACGAGCGACTCCTCGCGGCGATTTGTAAAATCTGCCGCCCCGCAGCGGTTGCTGGAGCGCTGCACGCGACCGCGGGGGCCGGCACCTCCACGGGTTTGAGTCTGGGACGGGGAGTTCGGGACGCGAAGGCTCCGTGAGCGGAGACACAGGGCGCCGCCGCTCGTCGTGGGCAGAAACGCGGAAATGAAATCGGCGTGAGGACTTAAGACCCGGTCATCGTGCCCGGACGCTGGGCAGTAGGAGTGCAGTTGGCGTAGCGGTGACAGCGGAGGCAGCGGAGTGCGGGCAGCTCTCCGTGGCACGGCCCTCTCGTGCATCACTAAGCCGAGTCAACGTTGTGTGTGGACCGTTATAGAACCCCCGGCGGCACCATCGCTGTCCTCGCTTTATAATCCCCGCCTTCGCCAGGGAGCTCTCGACGTCGCCACGGTGATAAGAAGGCGGCGGCGGCGGCGGCGTCAGCCTCACGCAGGAATGGCTCGTCCTGGTCGTGTGGCAATTACCCGCCCCCCGCGCAGCGCTCACGCGTAAAACCCGGGCAACCAGGAGCCTGGGCTCGGCTCCAGCAGAGCCGCCACGGCAACAATCGGCCCCGTGCGGCGTGACGCATCTCCAAGGCAGAGCGGATCCCAGACTCGTCACATCGGTGTGCTTCACCGCGTCCTGACTTACCCCCCCACCCAACCCCTGCCCACCGGCCAATAAGTGTGGGTTTCCGAGTAAGCTTTTTCTTTTGCTGTGTCACTGGAACCACCTTCCACATCCCTGTTTCTTAGTTCAGGGAATTGACGATGATGGTGGTGGTGGTGGTGGTAACCTTTGACCTCGCCAGTTGTGAGTACCCATCCACTGGGCCGGTGATGTGGCCAGGTAAACCGGCTCAATAAGCCGCACGATTTCCTGCCCGGAGCCACGAAGGCTGCAAACGACAATGATGCGGGCGAGCGAACCCACTGCCGCGGTGGAGATCCACGCGGTGACGATGACTGCCGAGCCCTCGCAGGGCGAGGTGGGGGGGGGGGGGGGGGGGTTGAAAGTGGCGGCTCGCCACGGGTGCGAGACTTACGACGGATCCGGCGAGCTGCAGGGCGAGCGTGGACCAGTGGGCGAGGAGCATGAGCAGTCCCATGAGCACGGCCCTGCGGCGGCAACAAACGGCAACAAACGGCCGGCATCAGTGCCACCGCCGGCATCGCGAACCCCGCCGCCAGGAGTCGTGACACCGTCTGACCTCGAGGCACTAGCCGCTTTGCGCACCGCTATTACCCCCCGGGCACATCTGCGGCTCCTAAACGCCGGGTGCGTAATAGGATCACGAGGGACTTAACAAAGTTGCGTTGGAAAAATACGGCGAGGCTTAGCACGGCTCACCCGAGCGGCATTAGCAAAGGTGTTGTGTTGCCACCGCCGCCACTGTGGTTTGTTGATTTGAAGAACCGTTCAGGAGTCCAAAGCGAGCGGCAACCAACAAACGGCACACTCACAGGTTGATGAGGCAGCGCGACTGCTTGGCCAGCCCCAGCAGAACCAGGAGGCAGGTGAAGAGGTCGACCGACAGCAGCAGCACGTAGGCCAGCCACCTGCAGCGAGAGCGATGGCCGAGTCAGGACTCGTGCGGCTTCTCAAGTTTCAAGTTAATTGCGCCGAACCTTTCGAGTGACCTGGGGCACGAGTCCGCCAGGAGGGGGCGATGGTGTTTGCTCTGGGTGTGTAATCCCAAACTGAGTCATTTGCCGGGGGAAATTATAAAATTGGGAACCCGACGCGATCGCCTACCCTTGCGATAGACGTCGGGAGGATCTCTAAACGTCCATTGCGAGCGACACAGATGGGGCGTGGGTAGTGTTATTATTACGGTTATTTTATGCGTGCAGCAATAACCAGGGCGGCCTCCGGATTGGAACCGCGAGCCTCGGCTACGAGCGGCCAACGCGGTGCCGCTGTGCACCACGTCACCGGCGACCACCTCGTCTTCGAGGTCTCGATTAAAAGTCGCCATCATCTTGCGGCTGCGCGCGCCGGCCGTGTGCGCCGAGGCTATCTGACGCGAGCTTTAGCGTTCCTTGGTGAGGTGAAGAAAAAAACAAAACGACAAAAATTTAAAGCGAAAGTCAGGCGCTACATCCGCTTCCTGCACCGATCCTGATGCAGGAAGGTCAACGTGGATGTCACTGATGCAGCGACCTTAAGGGTGCAAACTTTAGAATATTTCATTTATTTATTCTCTCTCTCTCTCTCTTGCGAACGGTCAAAGAGCCCTCAGGGGACGCACGGCCCAGGAAAGAGCCGCGTGTTCTGGGTTTACCCGGGGCGCCGCGGCCACTGACCGGTAGAACTCGACGATGGTCAGCTGCTCCTGCAGCCATTGCAAGGTGCTGCCCCCCTGGCCCGAGGGGTCCCTCCACAGGGGCAGCAGGGCGTCCAGCCGGCTCGTCAGGGTGCCCAGGTGGACGCGCGCCTGTCTGACGAGGCGCAGGAACTCTGCACGCTTGGCGTACGCCTTCTCCAGGGACAGCAGGTCAGGGGTGACCTCGTCTCGCAGGGAGGTGAGGGTGTTGCCCACCTAGGGAACGAGGGGGGCGGGTGGTGGTCAGGGTGCAAAGGGGGATAAGGGTCAAGGTGCACGAGTTGCTGGGGCTAGCGGGGGAATCCCGTGAACCCTTACAGTTGGGGACACAGGAGAGGTTCCGGAATAGGATGAGTGGAGCTGTGTCCTTTCAGTTTGGGTGGCCGGATTGGGTGATGGTGCTGATCATGCCGATGGTGGTGATGATGATGTGATGATGATGGGACAATGGCGCTGATGGTGGTGATGGCGGGCCGATGGCATCATCAGAGACATGTGCTCGTGGTGAGCTAGGCGGTGGTGTTTATGGTGGTGCCGGTGGAGCGGTGGTGCCGGCGGAGTGGTGGTGGTGGTGCCGGCGGAGTGGTGTTGGTGCTGGCGGTGCACCAGCGTGGTGGCGGTGTCGATGGTTTCGCGCGTGCTCTGCAGGCCCTCGAGGCAACGCTCCACGCCGTCGTCCGTCTCGCTGTTGCCGTAGAAACCAACGCCGATCGCCGCGCTGCAACAAGCCACGGCGAGGAGTCACGCCAGCAGCGGGGACCACTCCGCCCCCACCTCGTTTATCCTCCCCTTCGTCGCTGTCCCCCACCTCGTTATCCTCCCCTTCGTCACTGTCCCCCACCTCGTTATCCTCCCCCTTGTCGCTGTCCCCCACCTTGTTCCCCCCCCCCCCCCACCTCGTTAGCTTCAACCTCGTCGCCCCCCTCTCCCCCTCCCCACCGCACCTGCACATGAGCGCCGCGCACACGACGACCCACACGGCGCAGCGCGAGCGCCCGCGCTTGAGCTCCGCGCCATCGCGGTGCAGCGACCGTCGGCAGCAGCGGCACAGGAAGTAGATGGCCACCACCAGGAGGTTAAAGGTCAGGCAGGCGCCCACGATTCCAGCCAGGAATGCCAAGGACTATGGGAGGAGGGGGTGGGGTGGGGGCAGGCGGGGGCACAGGCAGGCAGGGTGGAGGCAGCGGTGGGTTCACCGTGCACGCTCGGAGCAATGAAGAAGCTCGAGAGGCGGCGGCTGATGCGACGTGCCACGGCGATCGGCGGGAAAAATGTGAATCGGCGAAGGTCGCTTGATATTTCAGCCCAGAATTAGAATCTTTATTCACCCTGGAGAAATCCGATGAGCTTTTAAGCTGTTTTTCACTGAAGCCCAGTAGGGGCGAGTCATAAAGTTACAACAAACAATACAACAAAAACGATAGGAGTGCAAATTATAGGGAAAGTAAGAAAATCACAAAATAGAGACTTTAATTTTACCATTTTTATTTTATCAGGTAAAGCCTACCGAGCTATCAGTTATTTTTCAGAAGCGACCTGGCCACTAATTACAGCTCAACAAAACGGCTTATCATGTGGAAACGCACAGCAGCCAAACACTCTTCACGCACGTCGATTCAAAATGTGGCGGGAAAAACCAAAGGCCCCGGAGATAAAAACAAATCCACGCGAGCACGGGGAGAGAGAGACAGCGAGACACACAAACTCCAAATATGCAGCGGGCGACAGGGTCGCGATGGAACGCACGACCTCCTGCATACAAGGCGAGGTAGTTAACATCTCCTAGCCACCCACTCAGGGGCCCTCGAGTCAGCAAAGAGCACGAGCTCATCTCCCACCTCGCCCTCCCCCCACCGGTGCAATTTGGCGAGGACACGGGCCGCCGATTTCACGGTCGATTAACCAGCCCCGCGCGCACCCGCTTGCCACCCTCGTTAATACCCACGATTCTAGTGACTACGCTATTGATTCACTGCAAGGTAATTATTTAACGAGAGCACGTCAACGCGAAGGCGCGGGGAGGACGTCGCACGTTCAACGAAAATTACGACTCTGGCAACAAATTTAAACAAGTCAAACGGGGGGGGGGGGGGGGGGTTTGGGGTTGGTGGTGGGGGCGTGGAAAAAAATATCGCACACGCAGAGCCACCGCCGCGAGAGCCGAGGGCGATCGGGCTGTTCGTGAGTTTTGGACGTGGCTCCCACAGGTGCAACCGAACGCCACCGTTGTTCCCTAAAACGAAAGTCTCTCTAAAAGGAAAGGCTTCCTTCCTCTTCCCCGTGTGGCGGCGAGCGGATCCATACTTGAAATCAATCGACCCCCATTAGACGAGCGGGGAAAGCCACGGCTGCAGGACCAGTGGTCAGAGGAGACGACAGCAGCGACGGTGGTACTCGGGGATTAACATTTTTTTTTAAAGTTAAAAGAAAAAAAACTGTACAACGGGACGCATTGTAGCCAATCTCATTATTCTCCGATGAGGCCGCAATGCTTTCGGCAAACATTTTTTTGGAGCAATTACGTAATTGCAATGGACAAGCGGGAATGACGGTGCGCGCGCGGGTTCACGTGGAAACACGCACGCGGCCCGCACGCACAATGACTTGCCGGTAGCGAGAGGCAGTGAACGAGGTAATTTGGCGAGAGTAAAACCGGCGCAATCGCCGCCGCCACCGCCGCTAAACAGCTTTAGGGCACGACAGTGACGAACGTTCCGTGGGAGTGTGGGCGGCAGAGCAGCACGGAGACCTCCCCCGCTGCCAAGCGCCCGGCCGTCCCCAGAGTGCACGCAAAATATTGGTATGAATATGAAGTGACTTGTTTTTGCCCGTGTATGCTAACCCCTCCACGATGGTAATTCGTACAGAAATCATTTACAAATGCCGTTGCGTCCGATGTACTCGGACCAACCGACGTTTTTCGTCAGCACTTGGACGGTGACGGGTGGATGAGTCAAACTAAGCCGCGTGTGTTCAGAGACAATAAATACCTTCACAGTGACCCCTCCCCGCACCTCATTATGCATTAGAAAGATCGCTTCAATTGTGGAACTGAGCACCAGGACTTCAGCCTCCCCGGGGGCGATGGTGGATGTGAGCCGACAGTGGTTCACCCCCCAGAAACGACCTCGACTCTGTAACGAGCGTCCACAGGCGTGCGTGCCGCCACGGCAGCCTCTGTGGTATGGGGGGGTGGCGGCTCCTCCATCTTCTCCTTCTCCTCCTCCCCCCCGGGGCACTTAAACCGCGTAAACTCTTGAGCTCGCAGGTCGGATAATCACGCATCGACCGACCATGGCGCAGGGGCCTGTAATCTTTGCGGAGAATTTACGATTGGTGGCGGCGGTGGTGACGCTCTCAAGACGGCTGCACTCACTCCAACGGAGAGTGTTTTTCGCAGGCCGAACAGGAACGCCAGCAATTCCCACACGGGTGGCTGCGTTTTTTTTTTAATCAATGCGTGGACGGATGCCTTCTCCGCAGAGAGAAGGAGAGAGGGGGTGGGGGGGAAATAATCTCTTTGCAGAAGCTCCGTGGAAACGGCGGACACAAAACTGTGACTGCCGTGAGCTCGTCCGCGGCCAAATTAAGCGCGATGGAGCGCTTTCTTAATGGACACCGCCTTGACGATTCTCTTGTGCGAACGCCGGCGGGCTCCTGGCTCAGAGCCCGACGATGCGATTCAGTTGGGCTCAAAGAAAAAAAATACCCACAAAACACGCCGTGCCCCCATTTCGGCCGAGCGATCCGGGAGGAAGTAGAAATTCGCGGCTGTGGTTTGGCCAAACCGCCGCCGATTGCCCACCATCATTCCCACATCCCTCCGCTGCGCTCGGTGTAATAGACCACAGGCTTCCATCTGTACAAGGACGCGTACGACTCTTGGCACAAATTAGGACAGCAGCCCGTCATGTCGCTGGGACCCAATCGGCTCGAATTTGACACCCATTGTGTCTCCTACCGATTACAAATTTACATTCTTAACTCGCGGACATAAAGCACTGTCATCGGAATGCTGACTGACGGGCAATTTTATTCTTGAGCAGGATATTTTTTTTAAACGACAAAGCGGCTTAAAGAAAAAAAAGGAGACAAGACTGCTGCACACCTTCCCTCGGGATAGTAAACGCACAGTCAGTGCAACGACTGGAGATCGAGCGAAGTCATTGTTATCAATATTTTATCTGCGACATGAAAGCAACTTTTCAAATAGCTTTTTTTTTTAAGATACCACTGTCGTTTTTGCTTTTGAGAGGCAGGGTGGCATGGAAGTAACGCTTGTGTCCTAACAGCAAGAAGGGGCCTGGGTTCAACTCCTAACTCCGGGAACCTTTCTGTGTGGAGTTTGCACATTCTCCCTCTGTTCTGCAAGTGTGAGTGTTAGTGTGCGAGCGAATGACGGTATGGAGAGCAGTGGCGCAGTGGTTAGCGCACTTTGCTATGCACCCAGCGACCCAAGTTTGATTCCCGCTCACGGCCACCAACACCAGTGACGATTATCTGAACTGGTTCTGGGCCTCCTTTAAGTCGACTCAGACTCTAATTAGTACCTGGTGCAATGTGTAAACATTGCCACTTGGGTGACAAAGGTGGCCGGGTATTGTGCGGGCCACCCACCCTCTCGCATCTCCTGCTGGCCTTCATAAGTACTTGCTAACAGCACTTGCACCCAAAGTCCGTTAAGGCTATAAGGCGGATCTCGGGCTTGGGAGTGATAGTCTATCAGGTTTGTAAGTTCTCCCGCTATTATGCATGGGTTTCCTCTGGGTTTTCCGGCTTCCTCCCACAGCAAAACAAAATACACACCCCCATAACCTACAATGCAACTGGCATTGCAGGACTGGCATTTTTACCTCCAAATTACTCAATTGGGTAAACACAGCAGCAGCAACAACACTGTACTCCACCACCGACTGCGAAAAACTTGGCAGGACACCCTCTGAAAAATTATTGAGACTCGGTGAGGCTTTGCTGGGTAAAGAAGCTTAATGTCTTGTGTTTTTAAAGAAACAATAATAAGTGATTATTGTTGTTATCCCACGCAACTCCCACCTGTGGGCTGGCATGATCTGGTAGGCACAGAGGGCTGGCGTGCGGGTTGGCAGCTAACGCTCACCAATACGCGAGCTTGCGACAGAAAACAGGCAGGTGGCTAAGCTGGGACAAAGACTGTTTTTCATTGACTGGACGGGAGGTAACAATAATACTACCTGGAATATCAACATTGGGATGTGCGACCGATCCCTTCGCGTTTTGGGGCAAACAGGAGAACGCGGAGAATACCCATCAGGTTACACGAGCGGATGACGCCCAAAAGCTCCGCGCGTGCGCGCACAAGTACATGGGTCCGCGAACCCACACAGCCCGGCGCGCGTTTAGGGGCTTCACGAATGTCTGCGCGATTCACCAACCCTCGTCTCCAATGCCCTGGACGACAGGCGGGCCGTCACGCCCGCCTGTCACGCTGCGTCAAAACACTGGTGATCCTGGCCAGGTGGCTCAGCGGGAGAGCATAGTGGCTGGCAATCGGAAGGTAGAGAGTTAACATTTTGGTTGTTGGGGTCGACTCGGCCCATTATCCTTCCAGGGGTTAATAAAATAAGTATCGTTTTGTGGGGGAGTTAAAAGTGGCTGTTCTATGAACAGCATCACCCCCGCCATACCAATGTGGAATTTGCCTCCACTGGCTATATGTATGAGCTGCAAACAGGTGATGAGCACAGCCCCAATGGTCATCTGAGCAAGAAATCACTCTTGTTACATTTCTTTGGCTCGCAATAGGGACGTCGGCACCTGCAAAGCAAGGACGAGCATCTGCAGTTAGGGTGGCTCGTCGAATGCTCGTGGAAGGGCAGGCGGCTACCTGCTGGTAGGCGGGGTCGTCGGGGGCGAAAGTGGAGTCCACGGGCCGGAGACTGAAGTCGAGGTGGGGAAACCCGTGGAGCCACGTCACCCACCAGGGCTCCAGCCGCGCGGCCATCTCCCCCGCCACGCCTCAGTGTGCCACCCTGGGGCCACCGTGGCACATGTGAGAACTGTGGCAACCAGAACAGGGCGGGGGGGGGGAGGGGGTAGGGATATGTGGCAATCACAACATACGAGGGGATATGGTCCAATCAACACACAGGGGGAACAATTGGCAACCACAACACACGGGGGGGGGGGGGAGTGGCAACCACAACACACGGGGAAACAAGTAGTAACAACAATAACAACACACGTGGGAACATGAGACACAAGGTCACAAGGTTGACCCTTACCTCGTCAGCCTCTGGCACGGCTAGCGGTTGTTGGCAGCAGTTGCCGCCTCTGTGTGTTCATCGTCAAATTGTTCGAGGAGACAAACATCCAATTAACAAATGGGACAGTGCCGGCTGCCTATGGCGATGGGCACAGTGGCGTTAATTAATAATGAACGAGACTCCTTGGCGATGGGAATGATTGACGCGTTTGGCCAGACAGGGCGCGTAGGGCAGCCGCGCGTGACACAACCACTTAGCGCAGCCTGCAGGTGAACAGGTCACGCTCGGGCAGTTCCACAGAGGAGGAGGCGACCTCACAGTTGTCCTTTTAAATGATCCTGGACAATTACAAAGACACTTGCAGAGCAAACTGGAAGCAACAAAAAACACGTTATTTTTTTCCAGAAGGATGCTAAAAATTCAACGGACAGAGACTAAACGAGTAACATCATTCTGTTGGCGGACAGCAGCAAGGTGCACAATCAATAACTTTTACAAGCATAATGCGACAAAGGCACAAGTTACATTTTGATTTAAAGCTTTCGTGACTGCTGGGATTCATATTCTTGGTTCTTTCGGTAAAGTCACGTAGAAGGGAAACAACAATTGTTTTATATTTTTATTATTTTATTGTTTCCCTTCTACGTGACTTTACCGAAAGAACCAAGAATATAAAGGCAAAGTTATAAATGTCTTGCAATGCAAAAACAAGAGAATATAAATGTGGGTTTGTGACTGGGTACATTGTAGAGGGACAGCAAGAAGTCGGGGAAGAATGAGAATGACGTTGCGTGAGCAAATTGAACAACTGGATGCAACTGAGAGTATCCGATGGAGAGTTCTTGAGCCAATATCATGGCGAGAGCTACGTGGAAGAAAAGGCAAGGATTTCCAATGTCTTTGAGAAAGGACATGGCGCACATGGAGTTAGAGTTAGCATTTAGGTGCTATGAAGAAGGTCCATTGAGCAAAACGTCGAATATATTATATATTTTTTTCCTTTTAAGGTCTCATCAGTGTTGACAAATGTGTTGAGTTTTTTTAAATATAATCGAGTAATACATATTGGGCCTCATTTTAAAGGTACATTTCTATAGTTTAATCAACAACGGCTCACTTTAAGGAATATTTTAAAGGTATGCAATGATGCAGGAATAACAACATAACACACAAGACCGCAGGCAACATCACCACAACACAGACATAAAATAAACACCGTGGATAACACGACGTTCAATAGCGCCGGTGTAACACACCGACACAAAACCACCAAAACCTCAGACACATTACAGACATACATCTCGACACCACAGACAACACAACACAATGGTTACAAGAGATCACAGATACAGCAATGACATAACGCTCGAGCTGGGGCGATTAGTCGATTCAAGCTGGTGGACACCATGGCAGCTTCCCTACCGAAGGTGGGAAAGCCCCTACAGGTCACGCCCAATGTGAAGCAGCTGATTATGCAAATGACGCCATCGGTCCCCGCCCTTCACCTCCCGTCCAGCGGCACACAATGGGTATGTGGGATTAGTTAATTAAACGATCCGCTTATTGGTGATCTACTTAAATCATTGGACTCTAAATAACACCACCACGGACACAAGACCACACAGTATATACAATGTCACAAACGTGACAGAAAACAGCCCAGGCGCAACACATGCACAACAGAACACACAAAGACAACACAACAGACATCAGACACACGTCACAGACACAACAACACCGCAGACACAACAGCGGAACACCACCAGCGAACCGCACAAGCACAAAATACACAGCACAGACACAATACTAGTCACGCCACTAAATAACACAAACAATGACACGCACACACCGCACGAGGCAACACGGAACAGACAGCGCCAGACACAAACAATGTCGTGGACACAACACGCTCCCCCACATACATAACACTACACACACACACAAACGCGGAACGTAACCAACGCCGCCGACACAACACCAAACAACAACACGAAACGCGCACAATGCCCGGATACATAAAGGGGGACCCAGACATTTCCAGAGACACAGCACAGAAGCGCACACAATGCCACCTACACCACAGGGCAGAGACACAGACGCAACACGACGGACACCAGACGGCAGAGAGACGTAACAACTCGGACATAGATCCACCACCACCACCATCAAGAGATTACGGCACGACACCGCTCAACACAACACCACAACCACAAGGTGATGGTGATGACACGATTCTGTTCGGTGTAACGAGTTCCACAATGAAAGACGCCCTTCATAAAGAACACACAACAGCGGACACAACCTAAGGCGAGGAGGTTACGGTTACCGGGGAAGGGCCGTTCACCGGCAACCATAACACAACACTGATGCCTTTATTCGTAATGATGATAATGATGAATACGTAATCATGATTGTGAGGGAATTAAGGTTATTCATAACGATGATTGCGCACAACAACAACAACACACACACAAGACAACAGCGGGCTTAACACGAACCATAAGAGAGACACGCGCGTAGTCCGGGTGTGAACGTCTCCACCCTCCGCGTGTGTCTGTGCGGGTGAGCGGTGGCGCAGCGGTTAGCGCGCTGCGCCGCGAAGTTCGATTCCCGCCCACGGCCTTCCCCTAGGTCAACTCGGCCTCAAATGACAACCTCGCTGCAGGGTGTAAACATCGCCGCGAGGGGAGACAAAGGCGGCCGGGCGCGGGTATTGGCCACGACCTCCCCCCCCCACCCCTTAGCGTGCCGTGCCGGCCTTCATAGGTGCTCGCAAACAGCAATCTTTATCTTTGTGTGTCTTTGTTACTAAATGCGTGGTGTTGTTGTTGCCCTGCAATCAACACAATCCCGACGTACACACACTACACTCATGATGGTGCAGTCACGGAGCTGGGGGGGGTGGTGGTGGATACCGCACGGCGAATGTGAAACACGCTCACGGTGCTGTGTGCCGTCAAAGACGATGGTTGTGCATCGCCCGATTGACGATGCGATGATGAGGTGGGTGTACGTGATGACGGTGCTGGCGGTGAGGATGATACATAAACAGTGCACGTGGAATACGCACAATGTCGGCTTTTGTGCTTGGCGATTGGTGGTGGTGGTGATGATGCATCCCTCAGATGGTCACCCATCATCGTCTCGTGTTATTCATAATTACGCCGATGCGTACAGCTACACAAAACGTTCCTCTTTACGTGATCACAAAGCATCTGTCAGATGACGCCTCTACAGCGACGATGCATTCCCAATTATTTTCATTGTGCGCACACTCGCACTGTACGTGACAACACAATAACAACGACGGCACTGGCAAATCATCGCGTGCGCGCGAAGAGAAAAGTGTACGCTGTGCACACCTAAAACGATGTGTCCGTGGCGACGCGTTTACGCTACTCAACGACGATGATGCCGATAATGATTGCCGGCGATGATGATGTTGCTGCTGCTGCTGCAGACAATACCGATGGTGTTGATGGGAGTTGGTGATTTTTAATGATTACGGAGGCGCCGGCCATCATCGCCATCAACCAGCGCCAACTCACCGCATCGCGGGGCCGTGCGAGGGGATGAGCAGAGGGGGACGCAAGGGGGGGGGGGGGGGGTCCTCGACACGGGGACCCCAACGCGGACCCAGCGAGGGGGTGGGGGGGGGGTTACCCCAAGGATCGGGGGGACCGAGCTCCGTGCGTGCTGCCACCCCGGGAGCCCCGTGGACAAACCTGGGCGGCTCAACCCACAATGCACGGCGGCCCTGGCGGTGACGTCGACCACTAGGGGGCACTTTCTCAAAGTGCAGCCCAAAAGCCACGCCCCCACCCACCCACCCACGCGGCGGGATCGGTCGAGGCGTCTATGGGGCCGTCCATAAATGACGTCACGCGATTTTGGACGATTTTTGCCCACCACCCCCCGCCGCTCAAATATGACGTCACGAAGCTCTGCCTACCCGCCCCCCCAAAACCATTTTTCCATTTTGAAACTATTGTCATTGTAGTGCGTATTTAATATGGCGCTGCACTCTGTTGTAGGAGTGTTGTTATAACAATTAGTGTTGTTATAACAATTGCATATTTATTTAAAGTTGCACATTTTGATGTGACGTCACATTTTCAACCCCCCCCCCCCTCGTCACACATCGTCACAAGTCTGACCCCCTCCCCCACCCAGGTGCATGACGTCATTTATGGACGGCCCCTATTCGCAAAGTGCACCCCAAATACGTCTCTGGATGCGACGGGATCGGTTGAGGCGTCTATTCTCAAAGTGCACCCCAAATACGCCTTCCTCTGCAGGATTGCATTAGGTGTCTATTAACAAAGTGCACCCCAAACACGTCTCTCTGTGCGGAATTGGATAAGGTGCGTGTTCACAAAGTGCACCCAAAACAAGCCTCCCTGTGCGGCGGGATTGGTCGAGGTGTCATTCACAAAGTGCACCCCAAATACGTCTCTGGGTGCGACGGGATTGGTCGAGGCGTCTATTCTCAAAGTGCACCCCAAATACGCCTTCCTCTGCAGGATTGCATTAGGTGTCTATTAACAAAGTGCACCCCAAACACGTCTCTCTGTGCGGAATTGGATAAGGTGCGTGTTCACAAAGTGCACCCAAAACAAGCCTCCCTGTGCGGCGGAATTGGTCGAGGTGTCATTCAAAAAGTGCACACCAAACACACTTCTCTGTGCTGGATTGGACGAGATTAATATTCACAAATGGACCCTAAAACCCATCCACAATGATCCGATATTATTATTGCACGGATATACTTATAGCGATGGAAAAAAAAAAATGATCCCCTGCTGATTTTGTACGTTTGCCCACTGACATAAGAAATGATCAGTCTATCATTTTAATGGTAGGTTTATTTGAACAGTGAGAGAGAATAACAAAAAAAATCCATAAAAACGCATGTCAAAAATGTTATAAATTGATTTGCATTTTAATGAGGGAAATAAGTATTTGACCCCTCTGCAAAACATGACTTAGTACTTGGTGGCAAAACCCAAATTGGCAATCACGGAGGTCAGACGTTTCTTGTAGTTGGCCACCAAGTTTGCACACATCTCAGGAGAGATTTTGTCCCACTCCTCTTTGCAGATCTTCTCCAAGTCATTAAGGTTTCGAGGCTGACGTTTGGCAACTCGAACCTTCAGCTCCCTCCACAGATTTTCTATGGGATTAAGGTCTGGAGACTGGCTAGGCCACTCCAGGACCTTAATGTGCTTCTTCTTGAGCCACTCCTTTGTTGCCTTGGCCGTGTGTTTTGGGTCATTGTCATGCTGGAATACCCATCCACGACCCATTTTCAATGCCCTGGCTGAGGGAAGGAGGTTCTCACCCAAGATTTGACGGTACATGGCCCCGTCCATCGTCCCTTTGATGCGGTGAAGTTGTCCTGTCCCCTTAGCAAAAAAACACCCCCAAAGCATAATGTTTCCACCTCCATGTTTGACGGTGGGAATGGTGTTCTTGGGGTCATAGGCAGCATTCCTCCTCCTCCAAACACGGCGAGTTGAGTTGATGCCAAAGAGCTCCATTGTGGTCTCATCTGACCACAACACTTTCACCCAGTTGTCCTCTGAATCATTCAGATGTTCATTGGCAAACTTCAGACGGGCATGTATATGTGCTTTCTTGAGCAGGGGGACCTTGCGGGCGCTGCAGGATTTCAGTCCTTCACGGTGTAGTGTATTACCAATTGTTTTCTTGGTGACTATGGTCCCAGCTGCCTTGAGATCATTGACAATATCCTCCCGTGTAGTTCTGGGCTGATTCCTCAGCGTTCTCATGATCATTGCAACTCCACGAGGTGAGATCTTGCATGGAGCCCCAGGCCGAGGGAGATTGACAGTTATTTTGTGTTTATTCCATTTGCAAATAATCGCACCAACTGTTGTCATCTTCTCACCAAGCTGCTTGGCAATGGTCTTGTAGCCTATTCCAGCCTTGTGTAGGTCGACAATCTTGTCCCTGACATCCTTGGAGAGCTCTTTGGTCTTGGCCATGGTGGAGAGTTTGGAATCTGATTGCTTCTGTGGACAGGTGTCTTTTATACAGGTAACAAACTGAGATTAGGAGCACTCCCTTTAAGAGTGTGCTCCTAATCTCAGCTCGTTACCTGTATAAAAGACACCTGGGAGCCAGAAATCTTTCTGATTGAGAGGGGTCAAATACTTATTTCCCTCATTAAAATGCAAATCAATTTATAACATTTTTGACATGCGTTTGTCTGGATTTTTTGTTGTTATTCTGTCTCTCACTGTTCAAATATACCTACCATTAAAATTATAGACTGATCATTTCTGTCAGTGGGCAAACGTACAAAATCAGCAGGGGATCAAATACTTTTTTCCCTCACTGTAAGCTGGGCGGTTGGTGGTGGTGACGCACGTGGCCTCTTAATCCATCACTGTGGAGGCAGCGAGGGTTGGTGAATCAGAGGCGCAAACAAAACCCTGGCTTGCCAGAAGGCGGTGGACTCCATCGGGCTCCCCTCACTTGCGTGGGCTTTCTCCATGTGCTCCGGTTTCCTCCCGCAAGTATCGCCATTCATTAAATAGACTCCTAATGCCTTCATAGAGGACGACAGATCTTGGGCAACGGTTGGCACCGGCTCACCGTCCATGGTTCCTCCTCATCCCTCGAAGAGTCGAGTGAGCGAATACTTTACAGCGGGCACGTCACGAGTCGAAATGATTGCTTTTTTTATATTCCTATGAACAGGCATAAAACATTTTTAGACGGAACAAAATAGGGCGTGATGGCGGTGGAATGCCAGAATAATTCACGAATTGAACGCCTGTTCTGGCTGAAATTAAGCACCGCATATACGGACATTACATTAAAACGGTTGACAAAAAAAACTTTCCGTGTGGCTGCACTGTCAGCAAATGATGCGTGCACAACGCCGGCAGTCGTAACCACGTGGCCACCGTCACACGCGAGTCACGTTTCTTTGAGCCACATGTGCGCCCCACCATCAGTTAATTCACCACTGCTGGATGAAGTCCTCCCCCACGACGTGGATGGTTTTGTTTTCTCCGCACTTCACCACGCTGGTTAGCGCGGACGGCACCAGGGATGGTTCAGTTATCGCCCGCCCGCCCATCGTCCACTCCGTGGCCGGGAATCGAACTCGGCTAACCGCGCTGCCGCTTTCCCCTCTCGCAGTCGTGAACCACACTCTATTAACGTCGTTAAAATACGACGCGTCCAGCATTGAAACGTGTGTTGGCAATTTCACAAAAGTCTCCGCACAACCCGCGTCAAGTAATTGTTCAACGATTCTTTATTTTCCAAAAATCCCCAGCATCAACAATGAGGACGGAATCAGCCCAGACACCCAAAACCGAGTATTAGACCCACGTGTAGGAAAGAGCCTTGCAGCATCACAAGGAATGGGTCCCCAGTGATCACACACCGCTGACACACATCCTATTAAGTGCAAAAACAATTCCGTGACACGAAATAATAACATAGCTCAAGTTTGTTTTTGATGAGCCTTTCGTAAAATCCCCAGGAAAAACCCACACACGTCGACGAATACCGCTACACGGGTATGATGAACCCATCATCCGAGCAGGGGGGGCAGGGGAGGGGTATGGGGGGGGCTGTCAAACCCAGCAGGATCTGGCCGGGCCGAAAATCCAAACAACTTCATATGGTATTTTGATCCAAGTTTTAAATTACTTTAAAGTGTCCCTGTAATATTCCGAACAGCCTCAGTTTGCCAAGAAAAGAATCCTGCAATTACACATTATATGTACATCCTTGCTTCCAAAGATAACCCCCAAACCTCTTCGCCACAACCGCACGTGTGACCGATGCACGCCCGTCTCTCTCTCTCTCTCGCCGCGCGATTGGAAAAGGACGCGGAAGCGGGCGCCGTGGAGTGAACGATACACCGGGCAAACGCACCCAAACTCACCGATCAAACGCGTCCATGTGACGCGTTTGTTGCTGCAGCCCGCTCGCCCCCTTCGTTCGCGAGCTCCCAAAACCTTGGGTGGACACCCACAGGGCGCGTCGACGGAGGGGGGGGGGGGGGCTTGACCAAGAGGCATTGGCTCCTCAAACCTCCCTTGCCTCCTGAATGTTTCTGCCTTCTTCAGCTGCGAAGTCGTCTCGTTATTACTGCCTCCATACCCGCTGCCCACACACACACACACAGACAAGTTCCCTTCGCTCTCGCAGATGCGTTCCGAGAAAAGGGAGCACACGAAACGAAACCGCACTGGGAGACGGCTACGTACGTGTGTTGAACTTCTTTCGCACCGTACAGTACACACGCTGCACAAAAGCAGTGCTGTCCCACGTTCGACCTCATAGCCGCATGCCGAGCGAATCCACACCGCACGAATCCAGCGAATTTTTAGAAATAGGTTAGCCGCGTATACAGTGCGCAAAATCGCACGAACCGAACCCGCACAGAGCGAGGGAAACCTGCACCTACGCTCCGAGTACAACCAAGGTTTGAGTGCTCGCAGGCAGCAAGGGTGAGTGGGCTACATCCAAGGGCACGTGACAGCGGCGACACCGGGAGCCTACCTACCAAGCCACCCCCACCCCTCCCATCTCTTCTCCGTCAAAGAAATGCTTCACATTAAAAACCCACGTGACTTACCCCGTGGCCCGGTGGGTGGCGGCATATTGAAATTTACACCTTTCATGTAAAAATTTACTCCTTATAAATGTTAATCCAACTATTTATATAAATGTATATAATTTGTATTACTTGTGCAACTTTTAATTTCT